CACCCCGGGACAGAAGAGACTGTCAGATTCCCTGGAACTGGAGTTACAGACAATTGTTAGCTGCCATGTGGGTGCTGGGGTTTGACTCAGGACTTCTGTAAGAACAGTGTAACCACTGAGCCATCTTTCCAGCCCCCAATAGTCTTTCTTTAAAAATAATTTAAAAAAACTGTGTCAAAGAGAATGCATAGTGGAAATGTGTGCCATGCCACAGTGTACAAGTGGACTTTGACTTTTCCTTTAGGTTCCAGAGATCTGAAAAAAAAGGGACAAGTATTTTTACCACTTGAGCCATCTGAAGCAGGACTGCAAACCAGTCCCCATCAAAACAACTGGTTAACTTGTGAGGCCTTCAAAATTCCTCTGGATAAACCACCATGACATCCAGAACTGAACTGAGCTGACTAAACACCAAGGGGCATCCTCTTGCTACCAGTGGAGAAATATGAAGAGCAATGAGGAGGTAGGGGAACCCCATGGACACAAGCAGGAACCAGGTTCCCCACCTCCCCTCCCCTCCCTCCACAGATCCTGGGGACCTGTGCCTGCCCCATCACCTGCTGCCCCGCCGTTGGGGTGGCACACTCGTGGTCCACAGCCACCGTGCCCTCTCCATCTCCTCACATTTGGCATGCAGGGCGGCGAAAGCTGCATCAGATAGGTCCTCGATCTGCAACAGAGCAGGTTCATTGATCTCTTTTCCCCAGGAAACTAAGTTTTTGAATAAGCAGAACAATGGATTCTATAATCAGTCCCTCCCCATTGTAGGTGCTTCTTCATCAGGAAAGGGATATAAAAAGGCTGCTATATAAAGGGATATAAGGCTGCTATGGGTGCATTTGACACCCATAGCAGCCTTAACGCATCCTGAGTGCAAGTACCCATGGTATGTGTGTTCCTTTAAGACAGTATGACCATAGCATTACCTCCTCATTCTCTTCATCAGGACTTCCCTTTAGAGACTGAAGATCAACCTCTCTCCAGCTGTAGAAACCAAGAATTAAAACAAAACCACACATGAGATGGCAGGCAGTCTTTGACTTCTTACCACCTGGTGAAGCTCTAAACGAAGCCTCATACACAAATATTCACAAAGCCCAGAAACAGAAACAGCAAGTTAGGGCTGGAGTTGAGGCTGAGAGATTGACAAACTCATGAAAAGGCAAATATTTAAAGGGAATAAACACTAGTATCAGTGGATTGGTACCATATTGGGAATGCATATATAGAGACAATCTTCTGATTTGCCTTCTGTGGTTGGAAATAAAGATTTACCTTGAAAATTGAAATCTGCTTTGATGTTGAGACAACACAGTATTTTAAAACATACTATGTTAAAATGTATTTCTAAGTGGACTGTCAGATTGTGACCTCTGGTCTAGCTGGTGAATTCATGTATGAGAATGAGAAAAATTATTCCCAGAAACTACTTCATTCCCATAATGTTAAGACCCACCCTCCTCTACCCCACTCCAGCACTAGCTACATTTAAGGAGTTATCCACATTTTGCTTATTTTTTTTTTTTTTTTTTTTGCTTTTGCTTTTGCTTTTCTGAGACAACCCATTATGCAGCCTAGACTGAGCTTGAAATCAGTATATAGCCCAAGCTGGCCTCAAACTCATGGCAATCCACCTGTCTCAGTCTCTGGAGTGTTGGGATTGCAGACATGAGCCACCCATGTCTTTTTAGAGACAAGGTGTAGATCCACAACCCAGCGTGCACTCCAAGAGCTGGGTGGGATTAATTACAGGTGTGCACCAACACACCTAGCCCAGGTCTTCTTTTAAAAAGAAGACATAACTCAAGGATAGGGCCCAAAGCTTGATTATAAGAGCAAAAGCATGTAAGACAATAGGAAGAGAGGGAGAGGAGCTGATTAATAGGGCTTCTACCTGGGAGTAAGGATTTCCTTGTACTGTAGTTTCTCTACACGAGTTGTTGCAGCAACAGACATCGGGATGACAATGTTATTAATATCGAATGAGCTCTCTCCCCTTCTCCTCCTTACTGGCTGCTATAAGACAAAGGTTAAGTTTAAAAGGAGGCATAATGCTACAAATATCAAATCATTCATCAGAGTCTTATGGCAGAATCATCAGTGACCATGCATATGGGTTCCAGGGTGGAACCTAGCAGTGGCTACCACACCAGCAACATCTATCTAAGCAGACTGTATTTGGCAGCAGAGTTCTTGGGGGGAAATACCAGGTGGCCCCACGGAGTAAATCTCATTCACAGGTCCCTCTCGTCCATCCTTTGCCTTCATGGGCTCATGTGGAAAGAGACTTGTTCAGTTTTAATAGAGTGGTTGTCTAGGTTTTAAGCTAATTGTTGGGGTTCCTATTCCTTCATAAACACCTCTATTAACACTCCTTTTAAAATCCCTGTTTCACCCTTTCATCCTTGTCTATGGCTTAACTCCTAAAAATAATGTTTATACTTAGTGGTGATTAACTTCAGGTTAAAAAATGTTGAACTTTCTTCACCAGCTCAAAGGACAGGCCCATCTCAACAGACTATCTCACCTTGGATGTCCTGAAATACATTCCTCTTGAAGATTTCAACTCTTCAGCTAAGTGTATACCAACCACCTTCTCAGCCCTTACATAATTCACCTCTTTCTACTACTCTTGGGGAAAGGGGTGAGGGGGAGGACAGACAACTGAAGAGGAGGACCTGCCAGAAAAAGGAAGGAAGGAAGATTAAACCTTTAGAGGAGTAAGGCTTTCAAGGGTCCCATAAAAGAGATGGACACCTATGAGGATAGGTCATCAAGGACGAATAAAGCAGGAACCAAATGATCTGGTCTCCTGGATGGAAGAAGTAGTCCATTAATTGCGTCTGCCTGGGCAGCAAACACCCCACCCTGAAACAGCCTGTTCAATGAACTGTGAGAGGCCATAGGGAAACAGTGGGATGACATACATGTTGCCATGACAACAAAACAGGTGGAAACACCCAAGAGGCTGCATCCATACCCAAACCACCAAATGTGGCCAGCCTACAGGGGGAATGGTTAGTAAAGAAGATGAGCTCTTCCCTTTGGCTAACTACTACAGCTCTTTGGAAGGTGAGACAATTTATTCACTCTATCATACTAGGACATTGTTAAGAATGGTAAAAATCAGCACTTTCTGGGCTAGCATTTCAGTTACTGTTACCAATGATTTCAGGTCATGGTTCTGCTTCCTCTTCAGTTTCCTTCTGTGTCAATAAAGACTAGACTACGCCCTTGGACCTCACAAATTCAGAGCCATGGGTAAACCAAAATGGTTGAGATTTTTAGATATCTTGCCTGAGTTCTGCAGCTGGGCATTAGCGACTTTATACCCAAAGGCTTCTGCCACCTTTACACCTCAGCTGAAGTTCTATAACCCACACAAGAAATGTGTCTTGAGGAGAAACAGCTTCCCCTCTATCTTGAATGAAACTTCTGATAGAAACAGGTATGTATTTTCCCTGAATTTTCTCAAATCTACTACCTATACCCTCTACTTATGATGACTCTGCCAGCACACACTGGATCTAACTTTACTATTGCCTATCTAGAGCCAGAGGTAGAAAGCAGGCAATGGAAATGGTAAGCAGTTCCTAAACCTGGTTTCATAGTAGAAACAGATTCTGGGGTTTCTGCCTCTGTAATTTTTTTTGGAGGGGAAGGGGTGGTCTTACTATCTAGCCTAAGCTGGCTAGCTTCAAATTCATAATCCTCCTACTTCCGGCTCCCAAATGCTGGGGATGTTACAGATGTCTGCTACCAAGCAGTTTCTGAAGCTCTATGTTTTTGTTTACTATTTTTAAAGTCACTGGAGGCAAGACACACAAAATTTTCGAAAGCCACCAAGATGATTCTGATATAACCAATGGCCCCTGTGGAGCACTGCCAAATACCCTCAAAGCCCTTCTTTTTCCCACTTACCACCTAGCCTAAAGTGCACACGCACGCGCACACAGACACACACACCCACACCCACACCCACACACACACCCACATATAAATTCGAAATGGTCTAGGCCTAAGTCAATTCTCTCTAGATTCAGGAGACCTAACCAGTGAGAAAAATGCTGACAATACTACTCACCAAGTCCTGGACCTCAGAGTTCAGACTTTTCATCAGAATTACTCTTTGCTCTATGCTGAGAAACCCTTTGCTAGTGCTTCATTGAGTGTGTAAGTAATAAAATGCACCTATTTAGACAAATTGTGAGTGGAGAAAGGAAAAGAACAAGAAGGCTATTTGGAAAAGATGGTCAATGGTCTGATTTATCAATAGCAAAGAAACAATGTTTACCTGATCTCAGGAGCCTAGTGAGGACATTTTGTGAGCTTAACAGTCTTTAAATCTAAGCTCTAAAAGAGTTTTACATCACCTCTGCAATCTCTCTGTCTGTCTCTGTCTGTCTTTTTGAGACAGGGTCTCCCTGTAGCCCCAGCAGACCTGGAACTCAGAGATCCACCTGCCTCTCTGCATCATGGGTGCTAGGATTAAAGCTTGTGTACCACCACACCTAACTATGCCCGGCAATACTACCTGCATCTCAAAAGACAGTAAAAAATTAAACTGGATAGCCTATACTTGCAGTGATCTTTTGCCTCAGGTGCTAGGATTGTAGACATGGGCTCCCATACCCAGTGGCACAAGTGTTTAATAAACATCAGAGCTCCAGAGTTTATTATTACTATTACTGTTATAATTGTTACTGTAAGCATTATACAAAGAACCCTTGAATGAGTATTATTAATCAATTACAGGTATGTGTCTAATAAGACTGTCTAGAATGGCTAGGCAGCTGCCTGGATGGGATCTGGTACTGTAAAAGCCGCTGGTGGGAAACATGCCTCAAATGGCCTGTCACTATGAATATACCACATGTAGGCACTGTCAAAGTAGGTTGCTGCATCTTTAATTCTGTCCCATACACCTAAAAAACCCACAGACTCTGGTTCAAACAACGAGTGTTCATTCATAGCACTCAACTGCCACTCATCAGTGGGGATATGTTATTTTGGTTTTTCATGTTATTATTTTTTCACTGTGACTTTGACATGTGAATTTCCTTTGTAGTTTCTCATTCTTGAGTGAGACTCAAACCCTCAAGTTTAGGTCTGCTTCTTTTTGTAAGCTTTGCATACCTTTGTGGTTTACTTGTTGGGCATGAAAAGCTGGTTGATCTAGGCTTTTGGTTCTCTCTTTTGATTTTATATTGGAGTGGCCAAATTGCTTTCCTCTTCAGGAGTTCCCACAGAGTCACAAGTCAGATGAGGATCAGATGTTCTCAGGCTCTCTCCTAAGGCCTGGATCCCTCCAGGAAAGATGTTGTCCTCAGGAATTTGGGCATTGGACTGGCCTGGGAGCAGGGCCCAGGAAAGGTACAAGTCTAGGGCAGCTGGTGTCTGTGCCACCCAGGGATGCAAAGGGAGATAGGGGCAGGAAGAGGCTCCAAGGGCTCCTGGGGACTGCAGGGAGGAGTTCAGTTGGTCTGGAAGCAAAGGATCAGGAAGCGGTGGTTTCGAGCTGAGAGGTCAAGACACTGACTGTTGTCTTGAATGATGCCTATAAACATCTCTCCTTTCTCCTTTCTCTTTTGTTCACTTCGTGGACCAACAGGATTAGGGTCATGGTATTCCACAGTTCTGGGTGAGACTTAGTTCCTCATATCCTCAACAGTCACAGATCACCTCGGGAGTCTTCCCCTAGACCCAGGGTTTGTAGGTCAGTGGTAGAGGTCTCCTACTGTGTGTAAGGCCCTAGGTTTCATTTTTAGTATTTCTCCCCTAAAAAAGACCTTGCCTCTACATCAAACTTTATACCGATGGCTCAGACACAATCCATTTCTACTATGAAAAACAACTCAAAGAAAACAATTTAGCCGAAGGTCAAGTACCATACTCTACATTGTCCTCCAGAGCTACTAGGAGTGACCTGAGGATCAGAGAGGATGTGAACTGCACACAGGTACTTACAGATGTGCTGGCTGTAACTTGTGAGTTAGAGCTGGTGGGTGTGGAAATGTCTGATGAGGTGGAGAGCTGTCGCACCAGAGGGCTGTGCGGTGGATTGTGGGCAGCTGTCAAGTAGCTTGAACTGCCCATGTCTGTGTGGTGCTTCAACACTACAAAAGTCAACAGAAAAGAGAGAATACATGGCTATCTTCATAAGTTCTACTTCTAACACAGGCTAGCAATGCCAGTGATAACACAATGGTAAAAATACTTTCTAGGCCTAGAGGATACAAAGCTGAAGCAAACTGGTTGATGGGAAGTAAGGGGCTGAGCGGATGTTGCTGCAGTAGTAAGAAGTAACCTACCTACATTTAGAAGCAATAGGGTCTCCTACTATGCCTTTCTAGAAAATGCTGAATAAAGCTGGGGTGGGGGATTAAGAGAAGCTTGGGCTGTCCCAGGAAGCTCTGAGCAGGTGCGAATGCAGGTAGAGGTGCCGGGCCTGGCCCTACCTTCACTTCTCTCAGATGAATGGTCTCGCAATCTCATTTTGCTGTGGTTTGGGTCATGCACGGGTGGTGGTGGGTTGAGTAAGCGCTCTGCTTTTGGCGCTGTCACTCGCTCCACCACGGGCACGGCCCCCACATCGTCTAAGTGCTGCCTGTGGGTCCTGTCAGGCCGGGTTTGGTGATGGGACAGCTCTGAAGAGGGGAACAGAAAAAGAGCTGTGAAAGATCTTCCCTCAAAAACTTACATCCAGGGCAGCAGAATCGTCTTTGGGACAGAATCTTCTAGTAAATAGCACAAAAGGACAGGTACAGGGGAGTCACAACCAGAGAAATATTAGCACCAGGCTAGAGAAGTGAGCCTGCCCACAGGCGAACCTGATGCCATACTTGGCTGCTCTCTCAACATTGTGGGTCCTTCCCTAAGAGCATGGCGCTTGGACCAGCTTCCAAAGTCTGAGAACGCCCAAACAAACAAAAGCAGTAACGTGCGAGTTGAATTCACATTAAAACACAAACAAAAACAAAGCCCTGCTGCCTTTCCCAATCCCAGGATACTAACCAGTAATTTGAGAACACAAAAAGAACAAAAAGCAGCAATGGGGATTCCAGAGGACACCCTAGTTCCCTGAAACTTACTGGCTGTTGTTAAGAAGGAGTTGACCAACTTGTGCCTGTCTTTACGAATTGGATCCGGCAAACTGCATGGCATGGGTGATCTGTGCTTAAGTGAAAATTTTTTGGTAGGTTTGATCTTGTCAAAAGGCTTGTTTTGCCACTGTGATTTCAGCATGCTCTGGAAGTGCAGGCTTGTGGGAACATCTGTAAAAAAAAAAAAAAAAAAAAAAGAACGTTGTAAGTTGGTCGAAGAACCTCTTTCTTTTGAAGTGAAGGGGGTATTTACCAGTCACTGACTCTCTAGTGGTCAATACATTATCTCATACACCTCTCTGATTTGATGAGTGGTCTCACCTGACAAGGCAGGGACTATCATGTGGATCCATTTATGTGATCTTTATCGAAGGTCATTTTATTCATAAGCAAGGAAGTATTATTACCATCTTGGCCTTTTATTTTCAAGTTCCAGCAGGGGTAAAAATCCCATACCCCTTTGGTTAGATTGACAGAAGATTTCTCCTCTTATGAATTACTCTGTTGCTTTTATTAGTTTGATAGACTGTCAATACCTATTTCAAATTTTCTAGAAATGTTCAAATATATTTAAACCTATTTCTTTCTATCTGTATAATCGGAGCATATTCATTCAGGGGTTAAGAGTACTGGCTGCTCTCACAGAGAACCTAGGTTCACTTCTTGCACCAGCATGGTGGCTAATGACACAGATAACTATAACTCCTATTCCAAAGGATCCAGCACCCTATTTTGGCCTCTTCTGGCATTACATGACATGGGTGTACTAACATTCATGCAAGCAAAATACTCATATACAAAAATAAAAACAAATCATGGGCAGTGGCAGAGATAATCATGGTAGAGAAGTGAGGACAGGCTGTGGTCAGACACAACATGTAGGTTCTTGCACTAGTGTGCCCTACAGAAGCCAGCACAGAAGGTTCAGGATCTTTCCGGGCAGAGCACTCCATGGCTTTCTGAGGCCTTTGCTCCAGTCTGCCAAGTACCCAGAACCAGCCTTTCCAAGGCTCAGCCCTCTCTGCATCATCCATGCAAATCATCCAAGCAAGCTCCCTACCACTTGGGGGTCTTCAGCTGCCATATGAAATGGCCACAGCTCTGGGCAACTACAACCAATGTGGGATTTCTCTAGAAGCTCTACTGTGGACTATGCAGTCCCAATGACTGACTCTGGGTATCTTAGATAAGAAAATCTGGAAGGAATCATAATTGAAGAGGTTATATGATTATATGTGTGCGTGTGTGTGTCTGTGCATCTTCAAATGTATACACCTTTTTTAATTTCTCAGCATAAACAAGTACTATAAACATCTTTAAAAAAATAAATAAATAAAAACAAAAACAAATCAACCAGCACCTGGGAGGCAGAGGCAGGCAGAGCTCTGTAAGTTCAAGACCAGACTGGTCTGCAAAGTGAGTTCCAGGCCAGCTGGGGCTACAGGGAGACCTTGTCTTTAAAAAAAAAAAAAAAAAAGAAAACTTTACACAGAGGATGATGATTGGTGATATGGTTCGTGTAGTAGAATGCTTGATTCATGAAGCACATAACTGGTATTGTGGTGCAATCCCAGTATTTGAGAGGCTAAGCAAGGCAGGAAGAGTGCCACAGTTCTAGGCAAGCCTGGGCTACAGTGTAAGAGACTATCTCCATATCTCCATAAAGAGTCTACCTTCTCACTCAATGGCAGCTGCTCACTTGCAATGTTATTTCTGGTCTATTACTGCTCTGCTTTTGATTTCCTTGCTACTTTTTAAAAACAAAAAAAACCAAAACATTAAACTCCTGTCCCCTGGGGGAAAAATAAACAAACAAACTCCCAAACAAATACATTTGCAGTACTACACTGACTACAGATCAATGAGAAGACACTACCACCAACAGCCTTTCAATTCATAAACACATATCTCTCCCCATTTATTTTCTTTTTTGGGGGTGGTACTGGGGATTGAACCCAGAGCTACATCCTTGCCAGACAATTGCTCTATCACTGAAATATATCTTCAAATCATATTTAGGCTTTCTTAATTTTTTCTCGCTACAGTTTGGAAGTTATTAATAAAGTTTATTTCCCTCTTGCCATTCTGCCCCATGAGCAGTTGAGACAGTATCCTGGTATTAACAGCAGCTGACCTTGAATTCACAGTAGCTTCCTGTGCCTCAGTCCCAATTACTGGGATTATAGGTAACACACTTGGCATTTTTTATTTTAAGGCAGGGTCTCACTTTATAGCTCAGACTATTCTTAAATTTGAGGCAATACGTCTGCCTAACTGCCCCCCAATACCTGTACTAGAATTACAGGTATGAGCTACCAGGCCTTGGATTATTATGTTTTTTTAATTGTATTTTTAAATTATGTGCCTGTATGTGCGTCTGTGTGGGCAGGTGCCTGTGGAGGCCAGAAGCTGTGGAAACCTACTGCTGAAGCTGGAGTTACAGGTGGTTGTAAGCAGCCTGACCTGGGTGCTGGGAACTGAATTCTGGTCTTCTGGAACAGCAGGAAACACTCTTGACTGCTGAGAAAATCTCTCAAGGTCTCCCTGTAGTTCCTGATGGCCTGGAACTCACTATGCAGACCTGGATGGCCTCAAAATCACGAAGGCATGCCAGCCTCTGCCTCCCAAATGCTGTGATTAAAGGTGTGTGCCACCAAACCTGGCCTCCAGCCAGAATTTTTTATTCCCTATTTATCCTCAATATATTTTAGGCAAACTATTAGCCAGGTATGATGGTGCATACTTATAATCCCACCTCTTAAAAGAGAGGAGGCAGTGGCCATCCTGATACTGAGTTGGAGGCCAGCCTCACTACTTAAGAGACACTGTCTCAAAACGAACGACTGATCTGCCTCCTGTCCCCTAAAAAAGAGAAAGTGCATACAACTGTAAGGTTATCATTAAAAAAAAGTTTATAATTGTTCCCAGCACTGTCAAAGTTAAGAGTAAAAGAGTATGTGTCCTGAGTGGGTTAGAGTGCTTACTGCTCTGTCAGATGACTGCAACTGGGATCTTGGCACTCACATCAAGCAGCTTATTAACAGCCAAATCTCCAGCTTCAAGGGATCTGAACCCCCATTCTGGTATTTGAGACAGGGTTTCCCTGTAGCCCCAGCTGACTGGAACTCACTATGTAGATCAGGCTAGCCTTGAACTCACAGAGATCCACCTGCTTCTATCTCCCAAGTGCTGGGATTAAAGGCATGCACCACCATGGCCAGCATCCATTCCAGTCTTTGTGGGCACTCACACATACGCATGCTTAGATACACACATGCAAATACACAAAATAAAACTTATTAAAAAGTGTGTCATCTTCCTGCTCTCTTTGCTTGGTCCAGCCTCACATCCTGTTTAACTTCCTATTATTTTATTTGTATTTTTGGAGACAGGGTATCATGCGTCCTAAGTCTGTCTTCGATTCCCTACGTAGCTAAGGATGACAGTCAACTTCTGGTTCTCCTGCCTTCACCTCCAGTGTTAGAATTACAGGCATGGCCACCAAGTCCAGTTCATGTGGTGCTGGGGAATCAAACCCAGGGTTTATACATGTGAGGCAAGCACTACAGGAATTGAACTACATTGTCGGTCCTTGTACAAATGCATTTTAACAAAGTTTATGAATTTAAACACTTTTAAAACCCAACTGTTTCTTTCTTTAAAAAACAAAAGTGGGGGAAAAAAAAAGAGTGGGGCTGGGGAGATGGACCTAGATTCAATTCCCAGTACCCACATAGCGAATAACAACCATCTATAACTCTAGTTCCAGGAAATCTGATGCCCTCTTCCAACTACATCAGGCACTGCATGACATAGGTGCACTTACACGCAGGCAGGCAATACACCCATACACATAAAAAATAAATATTAAAAAACCCAAAAAGACAAAACAAGCAAAACAAAATGCAAATTGTAGTTTAAATTGTATACGCCACAGCATGGGTATGGAGGTCAGAGGGCAACTTGTGGCAGCCAGAGGATCAAACTCAGGTCATTAGACTTGGTGGCAAGTGCTGGTACCCACTGAGTCATCTGGCTTGGCCAGAATGCAAGTTCAAGGCCAGCAAAGGCTACATATGATAAGTTAAGACCCCCATCTCAAAACACCATAAAATAAAATCAAACAGAGTTTCACACTGTCAAATATTTGCTGTGTTCTTTTTAATCACTTCCAAAGAAGAACAAATAGGACCCAGCTAAAATTCCCTAGCCAGTGGTCAAAACACAGCTCATAGGTATTGCTGGTCTAAGTACACACACTGACTGAATAGTAATAATATCTAGGACATGGTGAGAACTAAAACATGAACATAGGTGAGACTGGAGCTGAGTGAATGCTGGGTGTATAGCTAACAATCTGTCATGCCAGCACATGGAAATAGTGCCCACCACTAGTTTGAGGCCAGAGCCTGGGTACACAGTGATACCGTCTCCAAAGAACAACAACAAAAAAATGTAAACAAATTCAATAGCGATTCATTCAGCTAGAAGAGGATCTACATTTGACACATGCATGTAAGATTAAAGTGCTATGGGACTAGAGAGGTGCCTCAGAGGGTAAGAGCACTGACTGCTTTCATAGAGGACCCAGGTTCGATTCCCAGCACCCACATCGTGGCTATGAACTGTCCTTAACTTCAGTTCCACAGGAATCTGATGCCCTCTTCTGACCTCCATGCCAATGCATGACACGGGTGTACTCACATACATGCAGGCAATATACTCATACACTTAAAATAAAAATGATAAAATTATATTTTCTTTTTTTTTT